CTACTACCACTACTACTACTAGCACTCCTACCATCACGACTTGCTAGGCTACAACTATAACTTTTGTTTAGTCTTGCTATATCATATCAGCACTCGCCATTTCAAGCCGCATCCGGAGTTCTGCGCGTGCCATTGCGCTCTCACAGCTCGTGTCTGGAATTATGGCGTAAAGATTTTCAATCGAAACCTCATCCGGTTTCGGAAACCTGTAGCCCTAAATATTGTCATAACGTTCGAGCCCTAAACCAAAGCCCATGCCTCGCCCAAAGTTCGTGCGAGGAACTCATTCAACTCCGCATTGAATACTCCTTAGCATGCAGGACATGATGTGTCTATGCGTACATGCATGAACATTCGTGCGCAGGCAAGGCCGTAGGGACTTTTGGCTTCGGGTCGTGGTTTGGCATGTAGAGCCCCAGCGGAATCGTGAGGGTGCACAGAGGCGAATGTATGCACGGGTTACGACATGTCAGTCCTGTGGTGCGAAAACCATGGGGGGTGCAACCGGTCAGCGGCTATGAACAAATCGGCGAAGCCTCGCAGCTTGGTCGTTCCAACAGCACTTGCTGTTTCTACTGTCAAGACGCGACACAAATTGTCGCACTTCCTTTCGTGATGATCCCGTCGGCTGCAGTCAGCACCCCCTGAATCATGCAAGTGAAACTTCGATCGTCCCCAGTACTTGCTGCGAAGCGGTCTTTCAGCCTTGGCAGTTCATATCATCTAGCATTCATGGAGCATTGACTTGCGTATCTGATTTCCCGGGTAGAGAGATTGCCCACGCCCGTGCCCTGGCCTTGGACACGAACAATACGTGGACTGAAATGCGAGATGACATAGTAAGCTTTGCAGTAGAAGCCAGAAATTTGGAACGTCATTATCCTCATGCCCTTAGGTAAAGTCTAAGGGGTCCTAGCACTAACCCTCCTAAACCGAGATTCCAACTTTCTGGGATTCGCTTTAAGCAGTTACTTGTAGCTCTCAAGATGCCACCGGAAAACCCATTCCTTCTTGGAAGCCGAGGAGCCATCGGCCACGAACTTTCGCTTTTTCGATGTGCTACCGGCACTCATGGCTGGCGGCGCAGCGGGGCACTTGAGCAAAAACCCTGCACATCATGAACCCTAAACCCAAAGCCCTGAATAGTCCCTGATTCTATGATCTCAGGCCCTTTCCCCTCGAGGGCTTAGCGTTTATAGGGGGTTATGGTTAGGGCTTAGGGTTCCTGACCCACTCACCGCAACAGAACAACAAACATCTCCGTTGCGCCAACTGAACAGCAGCCCTGTGGCATCAAAGTCACCATAGTAAACTGATAGTACCGGGACCTAAGGAATATAGTATTGGGATTGTTGCGACTTCTATATCTTTTCTACTGCCCATCATTTGGGAGTTTCCGAAAATAGGGACCCTAATATAGTACCCTAAAATAGTAGGACCCTTATTATAAGGACCCCAAAATAAGGTACCCCTTATTTTCGGAAACTCCCATTTAGAGTGATCCAGGTAGCAACTGACAGGCGTGAGCCTGCCGGCCTGCCGCCATGCTCGCTGCCGAGTTGCTTCTTCTGGGATCGGGCTTCATCCTCGTTCCTGAGATCAAGGGTAAATGGTTTAGGGTTTAGGGTGTAGGGTTTAGGGTAAATCTACGAATCTGAAAATCTCATGAAGCTGGCCGGGCAAAGATAAGAATAGTCCCAAATACTATGATGCCGACCATATGCAACCAAGAAGGTGGAGATTTGGCAGTGGTGGCGGTGGTGTTGGTGGGAAGGGTGTTTGGTGGTCTTGGTGGTCTTTCTGTTGATGCTGGTTGTCGTTGACATTGCGGTATTCGTCGCGGCGCTGCCAGCAGTGGTATGTCTTTTTTCCAAGGCAAAGTGTAGCAACAACCATAACCCATAGTACATGACGCTTCTACTGCCTGGGGACTTAATCGTTAAAATAATTCGTGATAATAATTAATAACACCAACGATGTCTGACGGTAATGGACTGAGGCGATGGCTCCTTTTGCGATAAGCGCGCCAGGTTCTCCACACGTTGTGTCTTCCGCTGCTCCTGATGCGCGAAGCATTCCCAAAATTGCCGACCTCGAGATCTTACAGGGGCCTTAAGATAAGAACACGGTTTGGAGGTGTAACAAAAATGCAAATATACAGGGAGAAGAAAGAACCATTATGACGATAATTTATGAATCAGGTTCTATTACTAACTTCCGATGTCTAGTCTAGAGGAAGATTCCAAAGCCTGTGGATGTTGGGCCGAGGCTTCAGTTTCGAAGAGCAGTGTGACGCTTAAGCTGCAAAGTACCGGGTGACAGGCAAAGAAACCAACCTTGCGGGCGCTGACCGTCCATTAACTTGGAACAACCGACACCAGCATGGCTCACTGAATGACTCATTGCCGAACCGACCGACAAGTTCAAGCTCGAATGAACATAGACAGCCAGGGGTACCATCTGATCTAAATCTATAGGCTATGCACTTCATTTATCGGGCAAGCTATAGCAAACTCAGTGTGCAACTGTCCTCCTCCAAATCATCCAGCTTGGTAAGCTCGGCTTTGAGCCTCAGCAGAAGCGATAAATCCGACATCTTTTGCATCTGGTCTCCCTGGGTGCTGAAAATGCAGCAGCCCACCCACGGGAGAAGACTAGCGACGAGCCTCCCAAGTGCTAGCCAAGAACGAAGTGGGAACAATCTCACATCAAGTGCAAATCCGACATGAACATTTCGACACGCACTGCCGGATGCAGCACACCTGCACTGAACCAGAAACCACACCACGTTCCAGTAAGGTTGCAGCTCTTTCTGGGCAGACCTTGGCTCCATGGCAGCACCGGCCGATCACAAGAGTGCCCGCAGGGGGTACCACATACTATAAGGGCTACTTAGGGTGAGCTGTTTGGGCACCATAAGGCTAATGGGTGCCGGCTACAGGAACTGCGGCTTCTCGGAACCGCAAACGATCTGGAGTTAGGCGGTCAAGCATTCGAAGCTTCTTGTCCTTCACCCGCTTCACAGAGGGACCAGGAAGCTGGCTAAAGGCTTAAACAGCAAAGTTTAAAGATGACGACGATTCGGAATGACGACAAGCTGCTTCAGTTCACTCTCCTCCGGCTTCGCGGGCACCGCAACTCTGTGTGAACTCTTGCCTCGCCAAGGCGGGTCGGGTTATATTCCTTGTGGCACGATGGTCCCTAGACTGGCAGCATGCTGGACAGCACTGTCGTTGTCAATTCTTCAGACTAACTAAGTACGATGTATGATTCAGTATGACCACTGGTTTGTTGCTTGTGGGGCATTCAGACCCGACTAGTGATTTATGAGCTAGGCCGTCCTGAACTCCTGCAACAGTATTTACAGGCACATTGCCCAGCAGTCAAAGGACATGCGTACACCAAGAACTGACACTGAGTAAGCCCGCTGTAATGTGCATCCAAGTGCATCTCATCGATTGAAACCGCAAACACTAAAACCGCACCTCAGAACCCTAAACCCTAGACCCCCATCGCCGACCAATTAAGCAAGTCGGTACCTTCAAAAGGTCTTTCGGCAACTGGCTTGCCACTGAGGTAGTCAAGGCTGCAAAACAAATCAAGCAACGCATGCGCTGAACCCTCTATATTGAACTACACAAACGTTTTCAAACTACACTACGTTATAGCATGCCTAATGCTATGTACTACTTACTATATCCATGTACTACATACACTACACTACTTGCACTGTACTATGTGCCATATACTACAAACTAGTCCATGTATTGTAGATAATCGACTTTATACGATATACCATACATAAGTATATACTATACACTTTACACTATACTTCAGCCTGATACTTATAAGACTATGCTGTGCCGTACCATGCTGGGCTACATCATGCTAGCTATCTCATACTGTACTATACTATGCTGTACTGCCTGTGCTAAACTGTACTTTACTATGCTGTGCGATTTTATGCAAGGCTTCGACTGAAGTCGACTAGACTAGACAAGACTCGACCATACCGCAGCTACAGTAGTCGGGTCGGAAAGTAGACGGAGTAGGTTGAGCATCGTGCTTCCTTCAGTCGGAGTCCATGGCTTCCTATAAGGGTCGCAATTATTTGGGTTCCCATAGCTGAGATGCTCCTTTACAAAGACTCTTGCTGGCTAGGAACCTGCTTCATCTGAATGGTGAAGTGGCACGACGGAAGGCCGCTCATGCGGCAGATCGGATTTCGCTTCGGGCAGAGGCCTTGGTCTTCGATCTTCTACCTTAACGTGCGACTACCAGACAAGGAAATTCTCATGGTCGTTGAGGACACTTGCATGGTGTATACTGTATGTGTCTTTATACCCTATATACAGTATGTAGTGTAAAAATACACATACAGTATATACTATAACCTCCTGGAGTCCTGGAAGGGATTCGCCAGGTAGTGCTCTGGAGAACGCAAGTCATTGTCTATCAGTGTCCAAGTGTTTGAGTTAATCTGAAATGAGTCTTCAGGGATTTCGAGCGCTGGGTTAAATACACATAGGATTGCTAACCGTAGCTGGCATGCTAAATTGCAGAAAGGATAGGAATTTGCCTTCAGGCCAACCCAGCTTCGCTTCGTGGTCCTCTACGTAAGGGTCGAAAGATGTCAGGTGGAGCTGAAAGCTGCAACCCCAATCCATCCCTTCGAGATTTCCAGACATGTACGTACTATGTTACGCCCGACCGGTCGAGATGTTCAGTGGCAGGAAGGGCAGTGGTAAGCTGCTTCGGATGCCAAGTAACTTAGGTAGCAAGACGGTTCCCATGAAGACGACCGCGGCGCAGATCAGCAACCAACGCACGCCAGCACTGTTGATAGCTCTTTCGCACGTGCCTCGGACAACTAAGCAACTGAAAAGACTTTTCTGGAGGCAGGGACAGAAGCAGTGACGCGTACAGGCTTCATGTGGCCTAGATCCTAAACCGTAACCCTACACCCTAAACCATAAACACTAAACCCCTTAACCCTCACTCTCGGGAACATCTTCCACTATTGCTCGGTCGATAGCTTCCCATGGTGACTCTCCAAAGGCTGCGGAAGAGTTCCAGCGCTCATCAAGAAAGCCTTAATGTCCTAAACCCCAAATCACTATTTTCGGGGTTTTC